GTTCCCCAGATGCCCTGAAACATCTGTCTGAGTCACTCACTGGAACCCTTAATCACACTGTCTCCTGATGCCCCCTGAGGATGGGCCCTACCTACTTGTCCTTACCTACTTCTGACAGGTGTGGGTCATTTCCTCTGTGACTAGGGTGAGTGACAAGTTCTCAATGAACTTCCACAGCATGGAGGGTCCGAGTAAGACACAGGCGAGTAGTTTCAACCAAGTGTTTGGGGGCCAAGAAGAAGGGGTTTTAAGTTGCATAAAAGCTTTTACTCCTGGTGCCTGGAACATAGTAAGTGCTCAGTGAATGAATGAATAAATGAATGAATGAATGAATGAATGAATGATGAGAGTAAACCAGTGAAGAGATGTATGTGGCAGCTTTATATCTCCTAGACTCCTGATTACCACAAGAGTTTACGCTCAAGGTGGATATTTAGAAAATAAAAATCGAGTCTTTGAAAAGCCTGACGCATTAGCACCCATTTTAGGGAATAAAAACAGAGAAAAAGAAAAATCTTTCAAAATAATGCAAGCTGCTAAAACCAGAGCTCCTGTTGCACTCCGGTCAGCATTTTGCAATTTCTGAGAAAAGTGGACGAAGACCGTGCCTTCCTCTTCGTTGGGCCTCCTGGTTGGCACATCGCCGAGGGCAATGTCGATACCCACAAGCAGCAGGGACTGCCGGAGGCACACGGGGACATGCGGGGACAGCATCCCCAAGGTGGAGGCTTCATGATGCATGAAGCGGACTTTCCTTAGAACCTATTGGTTCCGAGGTGCGATGGGGGCCCACTGTTTCTAAACACTGCCCTGCGTTCACAGCCCCGTGAGGCAGAGCTGGAAACATCTACAAGGCGGTTCCAGCCTTGAACTCACGTGGTCTCGCCGCTGCTAACACAGTGAACTGCACTCGGGCCTGGTGCTGCGCTGGATCCCACTTGTCCAAACGGAGCTGAGCGCGGACACCAGTGAACATTGCTGAGGTGCCTCCTCCCCTCTCATCCTGCATTTTGTCTTTAGTGGTCCCAGATGTCCCTGTGAATGCCTCGACATGTGGCCTTTTCCATATCTGCTGTGCCAGCCAATGACGAGCCCAAAAACGCATCGTAAGGCAGAAGCCGTAGGAAGACAAAGTTCCTTCCTGCCAAGCGGATGAGTCTTTTTCCTTTGGATGCCAATGTGAAACTATTTTCTACCCTTCCTTTCTGCCATGTCTTCTTCTAAAAGGGACACCTCATGCCCTCATTAAGACTAGTTCACACGTAGTAAAATAAGCTTGGTTTAGTGTCTCCCATCTAGATTAGAGCGTCTTATACCTCATTACGCATGAAAACCATCCAGGAGTGTGTCCATGCAGAATCCTCCCCCTCCCGCCTGGGTGCGGAAAACCTGGAAACGTGCATTTTAATATCATACGTTTCTAGTCAGGCTCCAAATTAAGCTGAGCCAACAAAGAGCCGTTTAACTAGGCCGTAGGTGTCGGGCCCTCTGATTACGATGGATGTCACTGAATGACGCTCTGATGTACAGCTGTGTAAGAAAGAGCCAACCCTGTGAGATGCAGACCTAGACACACAGGTATGCACACCAGATAAGTAGATGATGCTAGATAGATGATAGATAGATAGATAGATAGATAGATAGATAGATAGATAGATAGATAGATGATAGACAGAGAGATTAAAAGTACAGATGTGATTTATTGTCTAGCTAGTACACTGTGAGAAGCAGAGGTACAATCCAACAATTTTTCCAGGACAATAGGCATTAGCCAGGGCTTCCTAGAATGTCTGGTGCCCTACCAATAAGTGCTTCTCTCAGGACTTCCTGTAATCCTCCTATAACCAACCAAGAAACACATCTTTTTCTTAACTCAGAATTAATAGCTGGGATGTCTTTCCCACACTAGTTTTCTTTTATCTTATGGATTCAGAGTCACAAGTCCTCTGCGCACTGCCTGCTGACACCTTGGAGCCAAATAACACCCACTTTTTGCAACTGTGCAGGATTTCAATGTTTGCACGTATATATATATCTCCTCACTCCTGGCTTCACTGTCTGTTCTTACTTCAGCCCATAAACCCTGTCCATTTGTTTTTTAAACTGATTCCACCTTGCTCTTTGGTGTATATTTGTGTGAGCTAACCTTAAATTCATTCTGCAATAAGGAGGCAGAGTAAATATGTGAAATAAAGGAATACATATTTATCCATTAGGGATATTTTATGAGTTTCTTTATAGGTCTTGAGTTAAAGATAGTATCAAAAGCAAGGACTTCAAGAAGTGAGGAGTCCAAGTACAAAAATGCCCTCTGAGCCCAGACAGTCCCAGGTCCTGTTTTGTGCCCCTCAGTCTACCCACCAATTTTCTGGTCAGTACATATGAGGACTGTTTTTAGGTCTAGGACATGAACATTGGTATGTAGCTGATGGATGGTATAAATAGTTAGAAATAATAATTTTTCATCTATCTTTATGATTTGAACTCCTGAATTAATCGGGCATCTAACTAGCGAAACTATATGAACCATCCGGAACCAGGTCTGGAGAATTCTATCTCTGTACGCAGACTACAATATGCCCAAAATGTGCCTGGGGGAGGCCTGGATCCCGGAGGGAGGGGGCAGGTGCAGCAGCTGACAGAGCTGCCCAGGGCCTGCAGCCCCACGACCAGCGTTGGGAAGTGATGTGGATTGTGCCATGCGGCCGTGTGTGTGCATGCACGTGTGTTCACCTGTGTGTCTGTGTATGAGAACACATACATGAAGCTTGACCAATAACTGAAAGACACAGCTTGCAAAATCAGCCACAATTAGCTCTCTTACAAACACTATTAACTGAATAACTGCCTGCGTTCGTGTGAAGCAACCCTGGGCGGGAGCCGCTGAAAGAGGGCTTTCCTCAGGGCTGAAACCGGCTTTACACAAACACTGTGAGCCAATCTGCACGGCCGCCCTCCACCCGCCAACCGGCCGAGCGCGAGGGGCCGGCCTGCGGGACGCTCTCGGTTAACCGGTGCTCGGCCGCTTCCCGCGTGACTCTCTCCTGCTCTCTAAACATCTCACTAACACAGAAAGCCTCAGGTCTGGCCACTGGGAAGGACACTGATGACATCGAAGCATAGCGATGGCGAGGCAGAACCACGGCCTCCCTGGTTGGAGGGTGCAAGTGGCACCGGGCATTCCCTCGTGGGCCTGGACTCCGTGAGGAATCCCGACCCCAGGACAGCCTGAGATGCCGCCTCCGGATCGCTGCGGGAACACCCAGTCGAGGGCAAGGTCCACTGAGCAGCGACTGCGACGTGGCCTCATGAGATTTTCAGTTTTACGTCACCCATTTCCTCCCAGGAGCTTCAAGTCCTTCCTCCTGTCACCTTTAGTTGTGCTAAATAAATAAGTCCCTGGCATTTTCCTCAAGCTCAGGGTCACTGCTTTGGGCCAGGTTTAGAATAAATTCCGTGGTCAAGACTTACTCTGGCTCTCGCATCTGTATTGCAGGCCAGGGAGAGCTGGAATTTTAGATTCTAAGAACAAGCTGTTTACTGCTCCTAACTGATTATTCTCCCAGGTAAGAAATTTTTTTTTAAAAAACCAACAAGGTTACCATCTATTACAAATAGCAGGACATAAAAGAAAAGATACTTAACACCAAATAATCTCAGAGAAAGGGCAATTCCTGCCTCTGGGTCACTTTCCATGGACA